TACCATGAATGTCTTTGTAATTCAATCTGCACATACTTCCATAATTATCCCTTTGGTAAATTCCTTCAAAGCATAGGTATAAATAGTTTCTAAAGCTGATGGTTTTTTATTTCCTCTTCACTATGGTTATATTCTATCCCTGAAGCCTGGCAATCGTTGAGAGAAAAAAACTCAAATAACAAGTTAGTTGAGAATTTTCTTGCCTTTGTTGCAAAAACCCCAGGCTTAGAGATGGACCAGCTGGGCAAGTGTCCAGGGTTCCAGTCCATAGGATGGGCCAAGACACCATGGGGATGTAAGGAGATAGAAGAAATTATATGTCACCAGAATTCCTCCCTAGAAAAAGTCTCAGCATGTGGTTGGAAAGGGTGCTTTGATAAGGGGCTGGGAGTTGGGGAAGAGAGATGAGAACCCCTCAGGGACTTGCTTGCGTAGTAACGCATGGTCAAGGCATTGCCTTTTATTGAAAACCCACTATCACGACTGAGCTAGTTTGGCAGAGTACACGGTACATATTTGTGGCCCTTGCCCCCGTGTGTAAACTGTAGCTTTTTTTGAAAAAGTCTCAGATTATTAACGAGCCAGGGCACCCTCTCTAGCTGTGGCCACAGTCATATTTCCACATATCCACCTGTTCCCTAGTAGAAATCTTTCTGGTGTTCTCCATGCTCTGAACAAAAAAAATGAAAGCCCCTTTGTTGGCCTTTGCATATTTGCAATCATGCTTCAGTTCAGGCTTGGACTGTCCCCTGCCTCGGGCCGTCTCTCTCCTTGCCTCTCTCTCATCCCAAGGGGGCTCTGTTCCCCTCAGACTCGTGCTCTCAGTACTCCGCTTGGTACCAGTCCTCTCCTCCAGCTGTCTGGAAACGCGCCCCAAGGGGGCACCGGCCACCTCGTCTCTGCACAGAACTCTCCTTCTACCTTCCTGTCTTCCTGGCCTCTTCCCAGCAGGCTGTTCATTCCCCCATGCCCTGCGTGTCTCCCTAAAGCCAGGGCCCCCATCTCATCTGGCTGCTTTGGGGGAGCTGGGGAGGGGAGTGGGGAAGTGACTGTACAGGAGTCATCCTTGAGCAGGTATGAGCAAAGAGTGCTAAAAGATAACAGCCAAAAACCTACCTGTGCCCTGCAGTGGGCCCACTTTGAATCAGAGACCTGATGCTCTTTGTGGTGTTTTCTACTTACCGTCTCTCCCCCCAGGAGATTCCTCATCTGTCCTCAGCAAAATTGAATCTGTTCTTAGACACATTCCTTAAACACAGCAATGACACCAACAGAAAAATAACCCGATTAAAAAATGGGCAAAGGGCCGGGCGCGGTGGCTCACGCCTGTAATTCTAGCAATCTGGGAGGCCGAGGCGGGAGGATTGCTCGAGGTCAGGAGTTCGAAACCAGCCTGAGCAAGAGCGAGACCCCGTCTCTACTATAAATAGAAAGAAATTAATTGGCCAACTAATATATAGAAAAAATTAGCCGGGCATGGTGGCACATGCCTGTAGTCCCAGCTCCACTTGGGAGGCTGAGGCAGAAGGATTGTTTGAGCCCAGGAGTATGAGGTTGCTGTTGTGAGCTAGGCTGACACGGCAGCACTCTAGCCCGGGCAACAGAGTGAGACTCTGTCTCAAAAAAATAAATAAATAAATGGGCAAAGGATGGGTATAGACATTTCTCTAAAGGGGATACACAGGCTGGTCACGGTGGCTGATACCGCCCTCTGGGAGGCCACAGTGAGAGGATCACTGTAGGTCAGGAGTTCAAGACCAACCTGAGCAACAGTGAGACCCCATCTCCACAAAAAGAAAAATGAGCTGGGCGTGGTGCTGCATGGCTGTAGTCCCGCCTACTTGGGAGGCTGAGGCAGGAGGATCACTTGAACCCAGGCGTTTGAGGTTGCAGTGAGCTATGCAAGCCACTGCACTCTAGCTAGGGCTACAGAACGATACTCTGTCTCAAAAAAAATAAAAAATAATAAAAAAATATATACAAATGGCCAATAAACACATGATATTCAACATCACTAATCATTAGGCAATCATAAATCAAAATCACTATGAGATAGCACCTCACACCCACTTGATGACTACAATAAACTACTCCCTCCCCAAAAAATAGGCCAGGCGTGGTGGCTCACACCTGCAATGCGAGTGGAAGACATAGCAATGCAGGGTTTGCAGGCTGCCACTGGAGCTGTTGGCTGTCAGGACACACCAAGTTAGCTACCGCCTAGAAATCTCCCAAAGCCCCATAGCTAGCTACAGCCCTCGCCAATAGTCGCTAGAGCAGCCATAACAAAATACTGCAGACGGGATGGATTAAACAACAGACATTTATTTTCTCACAGTTCTAGAGGCGGGAAGTCTGACAGCAAGGTGTCATCAGGTCTGGTTCTCTCCTTGGGAGAGGGCTTCTCTCCTTGGCTTGCAGGTGGCCACCTTCTTTCTGTGTCCTCACATGGTCTTTCCTCTGCGCACACACATCCCTGGTGTGTCTTCCTCTTTTTACAAGGACACCAGTCCCATTAGATCGGAGCCCCACCCTTATGACCTCATTTAACCTCAGTTACCTCTTTAAAGACTTATCTGTATCTCCAAATACAGTGACATCTTCGGTGCTGGGGGTTAGGACGTCAACATATGAATTTGGGGGTGGCGGGGAGTCACATTTCATTCCCTAACAGACTGCTGAGTCTCACTTTGTTGCCAGGGCATGAATGCATAGCTCATTGTAACCTTGAACTTCTGGACTGAAGGGATCCTCCTGCCTCAGCCTCCGGAGTAGCTAGGAATACAGGTACACACCACCATACCCCCAGCTAGGCTAGTTTTTTCCTTTCTCTTTTCTTTACTTTTTTTTCTTTCTTTCTTTTCTTTTTTTTTTTTTTTTTTTTTTTTTTTGTAGAGACAAGGTCTGACTATGTTGCCCAGGCTGGTCTCGAACTACTGGACTCAAGTCACCCTCCCGCCTCAGCCTCCCAAAGTGCTGGGATTACAGTCATGAACCACTGTGCCTGGCGATCTTCTACAAACTTAATATTGACTTTCTTTTCAAGTACTTCTGTTATGTAATAAAACTTTATGTAATTCTTACATAGTAAATTAAATTTACTTTCATACCTCTTTCACCCGAAATTGAGTTATACATAAGTTAAATTATATTTTACACATAGAGTTTATATATAATATCAAATATAAGTTAAATCATTTATTACATGACAGTCAACTAAAATTCTAAATCAATTGATTAAACATTTTTTTCTTTTTTCTTGTACAAATTTTTTATTTTTAATTATTATGGATACATACATAATAGTTGTATATATTTATAAAGTACATGTGATGTTTTGATACAGGCATACATTGTGTATTAATCAAATCAGGGCAGTTGGGGTATCCATCTCCTCAAGCATTGATCATTTCTTTGTGTTAGGAACATTCCAATTCCACTCTTAGTTATTTTAAAGTATACCATAATTTACTGTTGACTATAGTCACTTGGTTGTGCTATCAAATATTGTTCATTCTATCTATCTACCCTTCCTAGCTTCTGGTAATCATCATTCTACTGTCTCTATGAGAGCAATTGTTTTAATATTTAGCTCCCACATACAAGTGAGAACATGCAAGATTTGTCTTTCTGTGCTTGGCTTAATTCACTTAACATAATGTTCTCCAGTTCCATCCATGTCGTTGTAAATGACAGGATTTCATTCTTTTTTATGGCTGAATAATACTCCATTGTGTATATGTGCCATATATACTTTATCCATTCATCCACTGATGAACACTTAGGTTGATTCCAAATCTTGGCTATTGTGAATAGTGCTGCAAAAAAAAACCAAAAAAAAAACAAAAAAAAACATGGGAGTGCAGATATCTTTTTGATATACTGATTTCCCCTCCTTTGGATATATACCCAGCAAGTGGGATTGCTGGGTCATGTGGTAGTCTATTTTGGGGTTTTCGAGGAATCTCTGAACTGTTCTCCATAGTGACTGTCCTAATTTACATTCCCACCAAGAGTGTACAAGTGTTGTACACTTTCTCCACTTTCTCCTCACCAGCATTCGTTACTGCCTACTTGATTACACCTTTTGAGTTGAAATCACAAAACTAATTTTTTATATTCTAATAAGCTAAATTAAATATCATAAATGTTTTATGTATTTATACCAACATATCCAAATTAATCTTAAACTTATCACAAACTTTAATGTTAAAATACTAATACAATTAATAACCCATATTATTTTAGACTCGAGTCTACATTCCTCAGAATTCAAAGGCATTTACCCACATAACAAAATAAGGCATTCCAGCAGGTTGAGATTCACAGCACACGGAGAATGCGCCTCTCACAGAGCGACGTTCTCGAGAATGATCCTTGTAATGATTGCACCACGTGCTGTCGCATGTCTGCACCGCAGTGGCACCGTGAATCGCTGTGCGTCAGACTGATGAACACCGTTGACACACTGCCTTGCGTTTCCGATTATTTCCTAGAAGGATAATAAATCTCCTAGAGGGATATGGACGTTTTTTTTAAGACTCTCGGTACCTATTTTCTGATCGCCTTTCCAAAAGCTTGCCGCCAACACGCACTCCCGTGAATGTCGCGTTATTGTCACCATCTCGCCAAAGCCACAGAGTGGGATGTTTCTTGTCACCATCCTATCTGCCCATTTGAACGTGGGCAATGGAGTCCTGTTATTTAGGGTTCATTAATTCCGTCTCCAGTGCAGTGAAGGTGTTTTGCGTGTTCCCTGCGCACTGAGCTTTCGGTGCGGTCGGCACCCTCCGGCCACAGGCGGGGGCGCGGGGCGCGGGGCGCGGGGCGCGGGGCGCGGGGCGCGGGGCGCGGGGCGCGGGCGCGGCGCGGGGCGCGGGGCGCGGGCTGTGCGAGCGCTCTTGTCGCCGGGGAGGCGTGTGCCGGTGGAGCCGCAGGTGCCGGGCCGGGCCCCGCGGCCAGGGGGCGCTGCGACGCCGCCCCCGAGTCCCCCGCCCCGTCCGGGCCGGGGCGGAGGAGCGGGCGGGAGCGAAGGTCGCCGTCGTCGCGCTCGGACCTTCGCCGAGGGGCCGCGGCGTCATGACGGTGGGAACCAGGCTCCGCAGCAAGGCGGCCCCGCGCCGCGGGCCCCGAGTTCGAGGGCGGGCGGAGGGGGACGAGGAGGCGGCGCCCATCCTGGAGCACCTGGAGTGCGGGGACCTGGAGCACCCCGAGTGCGGGGACCTGGAGCACCCCGAGTGCGGGGACCGGGCGGCGCGCGGGCGGCGCGCGGGGGGCCGGAGCGCGCGGAAGGTGCACCTCGCCGTCCTGCCCGAGCGCTACGAGCCGCTGGAGGAGCCCGCCCCGGGCGACAAGCCCAAGCGGAGGTACCGGCAGAAGCTGAAGAAGTACGGCAAGGTAGGGGCCCTGCGCCCGCCACGCCCGGGCCGGGCTGCGGTGTCCCGGCCCAGGCTCCGCGCGCGTGGACGCACCGGCTGCAGAGCGGCCGGGTCCTGACCGCCACCTCTGCTCAGCTTCTGGGGCTGCCCTGCGACCCCCACCTTCCCGGCCCTGCACTCCCTCGCCAGAGGGGACACATGAGTCGTGTGTCATAATATAAGCGACATCGGGCCGCTGCGCCGCTGGAGGGTTAGCACATTCTCAAGGGCTCTTAACCAAGGGTCTTAGCAGGAGCCAGCGTGCCCATCTCGCAGATGGGAATACTGAAGCTTTAGCGTGGTCAGGTGACTTGTAGAACGTGGCCCAGGTGAAAGAAAGGAGTTGTGGCCCACTTTATCTGTTTTCCGGTAGCAGCCTCTCCAGGTGATCGCACAAGCTGAGAAATGTTTTGCTTATTCCCGCCAAATATGACCCGGGTTATTTCTAGGGCCTGGGAGCTCAGTAAATATACGAACACGCACTCGTGGAATCAGCGTTTCTCTTCTCCTAGCCAACTGTCTGTGCCCGAGGGGCCCTTCGAACGCCCTGCCATGTACCGTAGGGGCGGGCTGGGGGACAGGGAGAGGAAGGATGAATGTGGGACAAATGACAGTTTGCTTCTGGGAAGTCAGAGCCCAAAAGCGATTCCCAGGTGCCTGGAAGCACTCACAGCCGCTTCTGGAAGCTCCCCTGGCCTGGACAAGGACACTGAGAAAAAAGTTACAAAAGTCACTGTGTCCTGTCCAAAGGCCATGGCCCCCACCGGCTTTATGGTCCAGTGATCTGTGTCCTCTAGCTGCTCTTATCAGACCTGCAGCCATTCAGTCTCCCTGCCTGGGGGCTGAGGCTGATCTCCCTCTTTAAAGGAATGTCAGCAGCTTTTGGAGTAGTACTAGAGATTCCAAAATGCATATGGTGCAGCCCTGCCCAGGGAGACGCTGGTATGGCTGGGGCACCACTGTGAAGGTGGCTGGCACAGAGCTAAGGCAGTTAGCACCTCCAGGGTGAGGCTGTAAGGTCAGGGAGGTCTTCGTTCAAGTCACGGTGATGTGAAAACTGGGCACAGAAGGATGAGTTCAGATTTCACCAGATATTGATGAAGTACCACATCATACCCTTTAGGATGGCTACTCTTAAAAAAAAATCCTGGCCAGGCATGGTGGCTCACGCCTGTAATCCTAGCACTCTGGGAGGCCAAGGTAGGAGGATCGCTTGAGGTCAGGAGTTTGAGACCAGCCTGTGCAACAGCAAGACCCCCATCTCTACTAAAAATAGAAAGAAGTTAGATGGACAGCTAAAAATATATAGGAAAAAAAAAAAAAAACTAGCCGGGCATGGTGGCGCATGCCTGTAGTCCCAGCTACTCGGGAGGCTGAGGCAGGAGGATTGCCTGAGCCCAGGAGTTTGAGGTTGCTGTGAGCTAGGCTGACACCATGGCACTCTAGCCCAGGCAACAGAGAGACTCTGTGTACAAAAAAAAAAAAAAAAAAATCCCAACAAACACAAAATAAATGTTAGCGAGAATGTGGAAAAATTGGAAACCTTGTGCATTGCTGGTAGCATGTAAAATGGCACAGCCGCTGTGGAAAGAACTTGGCAGGTCCTCAAAAAGTTAAACATAGAACAACCCTGTGCTTCAGCAATTCCACTGCTAGGGATATAACCAAAATAATTGAAAATAGGTACTCAAACAAATATTTATACAGACATGTGCATAGAAGCATTATTTACAGTAGCCAAAAGGTGGAAACAACCCAACTATCCATCAACTGATGAACAGATAAACAAAATGTAGTATATACATACAATGGAATATTATTCAGTCATAAAAAGGAAATCCTAATACTTACTATAATAGAGATGAACCTCTAAAAACATTATGCTAAGTGAAATAAGCCAGCCCCACAGGTACCATATTGGGTTATGATTCCATTTGTGCAGGATTCCATTGTGTATGTCTAGAATAGGTCATTCCAGACGGAACACAGGTTGGTGGCCACGAGGGACTGGGAAAGAGGCGTGCAGAGCAGCTGCCTGATGGGGCAGGGGTTTGTGTCACCCGCCACCACTAGATAGAAGTGCCAGTTGCACAACCTTGTAAATGTGCTAAATGTCACTGAACTGTGCACTTTAAAAGGGTGAATTTTATGTGAATTTTGCCTTAACTGAAAATAAAGCTTTCCCAAGATAGAGAAGGCGTGTCATCCAAGATCAAGGGACGTTGCAAGCAGAGCTGTAGGCATGAAAGCTCCAGAGTGTCACACACTAGTTCACCAGTGTGAGCCAGAAGGCCAGGTGCAAGGACGTTGTTGTCAGGTGAGGGCTGGACGTGGCCTTTCCGCCCTTCAAAAGAGCAACTTCAGCTTCTACTTTCTTGGCGCCAACTGAGAGGTAACCAGGCCCCAAAGTGGAGAAAGAAAGTAGGTTCCCCTCTCTGCTCCCCCTGCCCCAGAGTCCCTTTGAGAGATCCGCTGGGTAGAATGCTACTCAGATCAAAGAGTCCCAGATCTGCTCTCTCAAATGACACTGCAGTGGTGATTGATAGATATTTTGCATTTCGTTTCTCAAAGCTGTATTTTGACAGTGTTCCAGTTAATGAACTATTTCCGCCGATTTTTTTTTTCTAAATTGCAAAGATGAAATGATACCCAGCTTTTAAAAAAAAATTAGCAGGCTGAGGAGAATGGATGCACAAATACCAAAAATGTCAAATTTCACACAGACAATCGTGACTGTGGTGGCCTTGTTTATAAAGCTCGCTCTTGGTTGTCATACATATGCCAGAGAATAAGGGTTTTTGTTGTTGTTGTTGTTTGTTTCTAACATATAATTCTCCGAGTGATTCCTATCACACACACAGGGAAGTGTATTGCTTAGCAGCCTCACGTCCCCTGTTGTCCCTGTATGTGTGCAGGCTTGCCCCAACCCACTGTCTCACTGAGAAATCAGCAGGGTAGGATCCGGGCGAGTAGTATCTAGAGAAAACATAGACGTTACCTGGTGTCCCCAAAGCTCCTCGTTTAGTGGGACAGGGACCGAGGGAAACACTCAGGCTCTTTCTACGTGCTGGGGGTACAGCATAGAGCATGACATGTCCCCACCCACGTTATCTTACTGCAGGAGACTCTGTCATTTAAACTACAAAATCCCAAGTAAGCCAGAGATCATAGGGAATTATACTCTTAAGAAACTTCCCTGAACAGACAAAAATATCTTGGATGTATATATTACCACCACAAACATAAATTACTACGTATGTGATAAAAAAAAAGAAGCAGATGTTATTTTCCATAATAACAGCTCACGCAGGAAGGCATTTGCACTGTTTTCCTTGCAGGAACTTATTTGATCCCCTTAACAACCCAATGAGGTCGTTACTAAATATTCCCATTGTGTTGTGGAGGAAACTGAGGACATGCAAAATCAGTTAAGTAAGTGATGGAGCTGGAATTCAAGGCCAGGCCGTGAGCAGCTCACTGCAAGGTTACCTACTGCCTTTATTAAAGAAGGGAGGTATATATGGGGGTTGAGGGCACAGGCTCTGAGGTGAGATTTCTTTGGGATTGAACTTTAGCTCTGCCTCTTACCAAGTACATAAACTTGGATACATGGAACCTCTCTGTCCTTGCTTCTCATGGAAACCCAATAACCAAAAGCCACCAGGGACCTACCAGTAGCCAATCAAAGTGAAGTTTATGGCTGGGCATGGTAGCTCCCACTTGTAATCCTAGCACTGTGGGAGGTCGAGGGAGGATCGCTCAAAGTCAGGAGTTCGAAACCAGCCTGAGCAAGAGCAAGACGCCCGTCTCTACTAAAAATAGAACAAAATTGATTGGCCAACTAAAAATATATAGGAAAAATTAGCCGGGTCTGGTAGTACATGCCTGTAGTCCCAGCTGCTCGGGAGGCTGAGGCAGGAGGATCGCTTGAGCCCAGGAGTTTGAGGTTGCTGTGAGCTAGACTGACGCCATGGCACTCTAGCCCAGCCAACAGAGTGAGACTCTGTCTCAAAAAAAAAACAAAAAACTGAAGTTTATTTGTTTGGTGCTACCAGGGAGCATGCACGGCAGAGGAATTGTGGGCTCACAGAAAGTGGAGATCTCAAGTAGAGAGTTGCATGTTTGAGTCTGAGCGGAAGAGTTCTTGGCATGCAGGGAACAGAGTGCGGAAGCGGAGGCAGCACATGGGGGTGGCTCTCGTGCTTTGGTTGAAGGAGAGCAGAGACCCAGGGCAGGCTGTGGAGTGCAGGTGACGGCTGAGCACAGGTGTAAGCTTGGGGACCGATAGAGGGAGGGAAGGAGAATGACCCTGCAGAGGGGAGAGCCGAGAGCACGGAGAGAGAGGGACCCACAGCAAGTGTCAGGGGATGGCCCTGGGGGAGCAGACACAGGTTGGTCTGTAGAGAGTGGCGGGAAGATGAATGCTTTCCCTGATGACGTCTGGTTTTTGTCAGTGGTACCTTCCAAGGAAGGCACAGAGACGTGTGTGCGCGCGCGCGTGTGTGTGTGTACGCGCGCGTGTGTGTGTGCATGTGTTGAGGAGAAAGGAAAAGGTATGAGGTAGTGCCTGGGAGCCAGAGAAAGTTACCCGACTAGACAGGTATGGTAGGTTTGCCAGCAGCCCTGGAAGTCAAAATAAGGTTTGTGATTGTGATCAGGGACTTTTAAATGAAAACATTCCTAGTGGTTGTGGGAGTTGGAAACGTCAAAGGGCAGAGAGACAAGGTGTGTGAGATAAGGCACAGGTCATCTACATGGACACTGATGTCACTGAGAGTGATGACATGAAGCTGGGGGAGGGGAGAAGACCAGGGGCAACTGTGGGATGAATGCTAGTTGGTGGGCGGTCTTCATTGTTCTGCTGCAATCCCATTTGACTCCTTTGGGTGTCCCCTGTCCAGCCTTGCAGAGAAGGAAGAGGAGGGAGGACCAAGAAAGCCCAGTCCTTGCCCTCAGGAGCTTATAATTGTACTGGAAACACAAGACTTGTGTGTGTGTGCGCGCATGCGTGTGTGTGTGTGTGTGTGTGTGTGTGTGTGTGTGTGTGTGTGTTTATGCAGCAATCAGGGAATGGCAGAAGACAACAGAGGGACGAATGTGCAGGTCACACAGGAACATGCCCTGTAGATAGGAGGAGGACAGGATGGGCTTTCCAATCAGGTGAGGGAAGGAAAACTTGACCCAGCCTTCAGACGGTCTAGTAACTTTTAGCTGGAAGAGGAGTGGACTTTGGTTTAAAAAATAAACTGGGTTGGTTTTAGAATTGGCAGCCTCCCTCCTGTTTCTGAGAAACTCTCCGAATTAGCTGGACATATGCTGTGCTTGAGAGCACCTTGCAGGGTGATGATGTCTGCCTGAGTCCCACGTGTCCTCAGATGGGGCGGGAATCTTCCCTTGCTGCCTGCCCCTGGAAGAACGAGGACAAGTGATTCTCCAAGTAAGTCACACAGGGCTCTCCAGCAGAATTCGAACGATGCCTAAAACCCTGAATCCTTTGCTTTTCTCTTCTCTTCCTAAAACTAGAACGTCGGGAAGGTCATCACCCAAAGGATGCCCGCTATGTGGCATCGGCCCTGCAAGGCTTCGCCGCGGCCTACGCCGCCGCCCGTTCGCGGTGGCCAACCAGCGTGGTGTCCTTCGTGCGCTGAGCTGACGGGCGCCCGCTCGGCCGCGGGGAGTGGTGGCGCCCCGGCCCCGGACGGTGCGAACCCAGCGGCGTCTCAGACTGGAACTCCAGCAGGCTTGCGCAGGAGAAAAAAAATGGTTTTCCTTTGCCGACCCACGACGCGTGTCATGAATGAGTCACCCCCGCCCCATCTGCTGAGCTTTTCACAACACCGTGTGGATCCCATGGGTCAACCCCGCAGAGAATTAGGCCAAGGTGGGGTTTGGGCTTTGAGTCGGTTCGCCAAAGCCTGAGCCTTCGGGTGGAAGGTGGCAGGTGCCGGGTGGAGGCCAACACAATGACAGATTCGAGCGTGGGGAGCAGAGTGGGGGAGCAGAGTGGTGACCGCGACGGGAAAAGAGGATGTGACGTCGGGTGACTTGCGTATCCTTCCAAGAAGGTCAAAGCTGGACGGGCACTCACAAGCCCTGGCTGCCTCTGTTCCGATGGCAGCTAAGGAAGCTGTTTATGTCCCAAGTTGTCCTCCCCCAGCTCTCCTTGCTCCGCCCTCTGTCCACCAAGGAGGTTTCAATTACGACGGCTTGAGAAGAAGGAAGGAAGACAAAACGCTCTTTGGAA